TCTTCTCCATCTCTCCTCCCTCCAGACCCCCACTTCCTCTCCCCCTCCGCTGCCCCCACCTTTCCCTCCTAAGTCTTCCTCCCTCCATCCCACCCCCAACCCCGGCCCGGTCTCCATCTTTCCGGGCTGGGTCTTTCCCACACCGGCCGCATCCTCCCTGGCAGTTTCTCCCCTGAGCCGTCTCCATCTCGTCTCTCCAGCCGGCAGTGCTTCCAGCCCTGGAGACTCCAGACCCTGCATCCGCTCTGACCCCGAAAGCTTCTAAGCTTGGGGTGCGGGTTTGGTGGACGAAGTCCAGTAAGAGAATGGAGGGGAGGGTAGCCGCACCAGCCCAGAGCCCCTTCCCAAACGCCTCTCACCCCCCCATAACCCCGTTCCCCTTCCAAGCACCACCTCATCCTTTCAGCCTCTTCTTTACTGGCTCCCGCCTTCTGCCATCCTTGCCCATCTCCTCTGTCCCCTCTGGGCCAAAGAGACACATCCTTTCCGTCTGTGCAAAGGAGACAAACCTGGAACAGGGGGTAGAGAGGAGGTTGGGCAGTGCAGGGCGGTGTCCCCGCAGGCCCAGCTTGAGGGGCGGCCTGGGAAGGAGAGTCACAGCACTGGGCAGAGTGAGCCATATACTTCCACCGGAATGAAAACCCCCAGGACTCCAAAGAGCTAGAAGGCGTGTCCCCATCCCCTCCCGCTGCACCCCAGCCCCCAGTTGCCCCTAGCATCCCACAGTACCTCCTCTCTCCCTGCTCACAGGACCCACAGTTACCACTTTAGGCTCCTACGAGGTGTCTGAGGGTTGTGAGAGGAAGAAAGGTCAACGCTGGGGGTCCCTAGAACGACGGGGGATGCAAGCTATGGAGGGTGAGTTTTCCCAAAAAGCTTTCTTTCCCTCCCACTCACCCAATTTTCCTTCCTTCCTCCTTCCTCCCTCTGACCCCCAGAATTCTGAGCCAGGACACAGCCCACCCCCCCAGTTCAGCTCAGCCCCCTCCATCCTTCAGGTCTGAGCTCCAACCCCTCCTCAGGCCTCAGGCTTTGAGGGAAGTTCAGGGTACATCCCTTTGGGGTCCTAATCACCAGCTAACCAGGTTGTGTGTCCCGAGGGAGCTGCCAGACAGAGAAAGAGGCCTTGTTGGACAGAGCTTTGAAGCAGCCTTTCAGCAGGGGGTTTGTTCTCACTGCCTCCCGACCCAGATCCCAAGCTGTCTCTTATTTTCAAAAGCAGAGAAGTGAGCATGTGTATTATCTTTCTGGTGCCCCCACCATTAACTTCGAATGGAAGCCTTGTGGCTTTGGTTTTCTAGGCTAGCTTACTGCCAGAAAGAGGGGGCCCGGGAGGGGGACAGGTGAGAAGGCCAACCTCCCCACCACACCCATGCGACTTGGCAATTGCTGCCAACACCAGGACCCTAGAAGGATGTTGGTCCTATTTCCAGAACTTCCTGTGAAGGGTCCCCAGGTCCCTATGCACACTCAGTGTGTACAATCCTGTTCCCCCAAGGGGTCCCAGATGAACCTTAGGTTGTGGTTATCCGGCAAAGACAGACCAGATACAGAATTTTAAAACAAACTGTTGCCATCCAGACAAGATTTTGCTGTTTAGAGGAACTGCATTGCAGCAAAGGAGGGGGTGATCGCCAGCCAGAGGCTGGGAACCAGTACACCCCAGTTTCTTACTGCATTAAAATGTCAGGCTTTCTTTTACACATAAGAATAACCTATGACTTCCTCCCGAAAACTGCCTTGTCAGGGGAAACCTCCTGACACTCAGCAGGGAAAAGAAAGGTGAACCTGGTAGAAAATTTCAAAAAGGCTATTCGATAGAATATATTTGAAAGGGCCCCAGTGATTGTCCAAGTAAAACACTGAGAATCATTTAATTCAGATGTTCTCTTTCTCTGTCTACTGACAGGCAATGCTTACTTATGGAAAGGCTAATTTCTCACAAGCCACCTGGATAATTTGTAAACATTCTAAAACCCCCCAAACTGTAATTCTTGCCCTGTTTGGCTTAAAGACACACCAGTGTCTGAATCCTTTCTTGACTACTTTTCTCACCACCCAGAGATAAGGACTGAAGAAGCAGGTATCTTTGCGTAAGCTGCGCACAGCTGAGCCAGCATCTGGCTGCTCAGTTTGCCCCAAGGCAGTACTAGGAGGCCACCAGGTGCAACACTGGTCCAGAAAGGGCCTGGGAGGCAGGGAGGCTACCTCCACCTGAAGCTCACACTTGAGGAGGACTCATCTTGTGCGCAGGTCCTGCCCAGGGGCTCCTTGGGGTGACACAAGGTGGCACTGTTATACCATCTCTGCCCTGAGATAGTGAGTTGGAAGGCCCTTGAAGGACTGTGGAAAGGCAGCTGACCCTTACTCACTGGTGGGATGGGGGTCTCTCCTAGGGGAAGTGTTACTCCCAGCTCTCTATGAAGAGGAAGAGGAGGAAGAAGAGGAGGAAGAAGAAGTGGAGGAAGAGGATGATCAAGTGCAGAAAGGTGGCAGTGTGGGCTCCCTGTCAGTCAGCAAGCACCGAGGCCTGAGCCTCACGGAGACCGAGCTGGAGGAGCTGAGGGCTCAGGTGCTGCAGCTGGTGGCGGAGCTGGAGGAGACCCGGGAACTGGCAGGGCAGCATGAGGACGACTCCTTGGAGCTGCAGGGTGAGTGCCTGTCACGGAGCCGGAGGGCCTGGGCCTGAAGGCTCTGTGCCCACTGGATTCCAGGCCTGATGCCAGCTCCCCCCTCACTGCAGGGCTCCTGGAGGATGAGCGGCTGGCCAGTGCCCAGCAGGCAGAGGTGTTCACCAAGCAGATCCAGCAGCTCCAAGGTAAATCCTTGCACTCGGGTGGCCATCCCAAGACTTTTGTCTTGAGGGTTTGGCTGAGGCATAGCAGACAGATGAAACTGAATTCAGTACTTTCTCCTCATTTTCTTCTACTATTCTCACCCTTTTCTCCTTGTCCCTCCACCTTCCTCTTTAGTTCATTTCCTTTCTTTATGCATCTCTGACTCATTCTTCTGTCCTCCCCTTCCCTTTCTTGCCCTCCCATTTCTCCCCCATTCCCTGTGGTTAACTCTCTCCTTTTCCTCTTCAGTCTCTCCCCTTCACTCCTGCATCCCTTTTCCTCTGTTCTCTTGGTCAGGGCCAAGGGTAGGTAGTCAGGGTTAAGTTCCCAACCAGATTTCTTTTTCCTGCCCCTCCAAGGGCACCATGGGAAGAGCAGTGAGCCAATGAGAAGTAACTGGAGGGGACTCTGTGCATGTTTTAAGGGAAGCAGATGAGGACTCTTCTCTTGCTACCTAGAACCAAGCTGGTGGCCCCAAAAGCCCTTTCTTCTAACGCCCACATCCCTTTGTCTCTGGGAAGCAGCAAGGCAGGCGTCCCACATTCCACAGCACCGCCAAATAAAGAGACAGATTTTGTTACATCTGTGGGCTTTTGGAAGGTTGAGGGGAGCTGCCCTAGAAAACTGCAGGGACTCTCCAGGGAGAACTGAGATCAAGCCAAAAAAGAAGTATAAATGGAGAAAAAAGGAAGGCCAGGAAGCAGGCCTAGAGAGGAGCAAGCCAAGGTGGGGGAGGGGGAGGGAACGAGAAGGGAAAGAAGATGTAAGCAAAGATAGATGCAGGAAAAGTAGACAATAAAGGGGCAGGGAGGAGGGGGCAAAGGAGAGAAATGGCAAGAGCTGTGTTGCACAGGGAAAGCACGTGAGCATTGGTCTCAGACCAATTCTTGAGCCCAGCTCTGCCACAAAACAGGCTTTGTGATCTTGAGCAAGTCACTTTTATCTTCTGATCCTTAACTGTAAAATAGGGCTAATTTATGTGCTTCATCAACCATTTACTGAGTGTCTATATACTGGGAGGACAAGACAGACTGGTTCCTGCCCTGATGGAGAGTACATTTTTACAGGGAGAGGCAGAAAACAGACAAGCAACATTTCAGGTGGCGATAAGTGCTGTGAAGAAAATACAACAATATGATGTAGAGAGATGGGGTAAAATGGAAGTTTATTTTCAATAGGGTAGTTAGAAAAGTCCTCTTTGAGAAGAGGACATCTGAGCTAAGACCTGAATACTGAGGAAGATCTGAGGAAAGTGCACACCAGGCAGATGGAACAGCAATGGCAAAAGCACAAAAGGTGAGGTTGAGCTTCAGGTGTTTGAGGGACAGAACAAAGGCCATTGTGGCTGAAGCAAAGTGCATGTGGATGATTCTGGTAAGAAAAGAATTCAGATTACAAAATTCAGATTACAGCCAGCTGAGAGGTTTGATTTTTATTCTAAGTTTAGTGGGAAAACATGGGAGGGTATTAGCAGGGCTGGAAGGACTTGATCCGCTTTATATTTTTGTTTTTATTATGTTTATTTTTTTGGATAATATTTTTTTACTAATTTTGAAAAATAATTCTTTTTTTTCTTCCAGTTTTTTGAGATATATATTGTATCTCTGTAAGCTCTGTATACTCTTTTTTTGTGGGGGGAGGTAATTAGATTTTTTTTTTTAATGGAAGTACTGGGGATTGCCAGGCATGCACTCTACCACTGAGCTATACCCTCCCCACCTGCTTTACATTTTAAAAAGAGCACTTCAGCTACTGTGTGGAAATTAGATGAAAGGAACAGTGAATCTGATCAGCAAATTATTGCAGTAGAGATGATAGTTGCTTGGATTAGAAATGGGGATGATTTAGAATATAATTTGAAATTGGAGCTCTCAGGACATGCTGAATTGGATTGGGGTATAAGAGAGGCATGAAAGATGACTTTGCCCTGAGAAACTGGAAGGATGGTGGTGTCATTTACTGAAATGGGGAAGACTTGACAAGGAAAAAGATTGGAGGCTGGGGAGCCGTTTAAGACATGTTTTCTACATGTTGAGTTTCAAATGGCTATTGACATCTAAGTAAATATATTAAGGAGGCAGTTGGAAATACGAATCTAGAACCAGGGGAGAGATCAGGGCTGGAGATACAAACTTGGGAGTCATTGGCACATAGAAGGCATTTGAATTCATGGGAGACTACCATGAAATCACATGGAGAGATACATAGAGAGAAAGGGGTCTAGTCCCAGGGATACTCCAGAATTTAAAGGTCCAGTAAAGCAGGAGAAATGAACAAAAAAGACTGAGGTAGGAGGAACTACTGAAGTATTTGGTGACCTGAAAACCGAGAGCAGAAAGTGCTCCAAGCTCCAAGGAGACAATGATCAGCGGTGTCAAAAAGCTGCCAAGTCGAGTAAGATGGCCTTTGTATTTGGCAAGACGGAGGGCTGTGAGACATATCAGTGAGAATAAGCCTGTTGTGTTGGGATTGAAAAGGAAAGGGGAGGTGAAATGGAGGTGAGTACCCCTAATTCCGATAGTCATGTTTTGAAAAGAAGTAGAGAAATAAGGGAGACGAAGTCAAGGGAGAGCTTTTGGTGTTCCTTTTTTGAGATGGGACACACTAGATGATCATGTTTGTATGATGAAGGAAAGGATCCAGTAGAGTATTAGATCTCATCTAAGCGCGAGAGTGGCGGTGGGGGTTGGGATGGGAACTGCTGATCTGGTGAAGGTGCCCAAACTCCAGAGTCCTTGCGCACGCACGTTGCCCGTTTCCGTCAAGAGGGGGCGCGCGCGGCCTCAGAGGTAGCTGGTGTTGAGAGGCCGTTCCGGCCGCCACAGCCCCTCGGGGGCCGGGACCGGCCGGCGGCGGGAGGCCCCCCAGAGAGACCGATTGCGGGGGGGCCGGCGAGATGGAGGCCATAACCAGTGAGTGAGAACTGACCTTTCCGCACCCGCAGCCCAGCTCCCGGGCCCTCAGCCTCGCCGCGACGGTTCCAGCCCCACTGTCAACCGGCGCCAGCTCTTCGGAACCCGGGTCGGGCCCTTCCAACTCCCAGCCGGGGCTCGCCCCGCCCGGCTTCCAGATAAGCCCCTCCCTCGGGCCCGCCAAGTCCCGTCCCTCCGCTCCTTTGTGTTTCTAATTAAGAGCTTTCTGAGGCTGAGGGCGACCTTCCAACATTCCCCAGCTGATCTGAGAATGTCATTTTTAGGGCTAGATCCCAGAGGACAACCTAAGGGAGATTTGAACCGTAACATCAAGGACATAGTGGGGAAGTGGAGGTTGGTCAGCTTCCCGACAGAAAATCCACCCAGGCCTTTATCCTAATGGCCGGTTGACTTTTGTGTCTCCCCCACTAGACTGTAACCTCCAAGGGGCAGACCTTCAGTAGTGGAAAGAGCAAGGACTTTGTTTCCTTCAAATAGGAAGGAAGTCAGAGAATCTAAGTGATGTTTGGGCTTGGCACAGAGATGATGATCAATTAATACTTGTTGAACAGACCAAGAGGAGGAGACAGCTAGGATGGTTGTAGAGAAGGGAGACTAGCAAAAGATGTGCACCTGTGAGCTTGGCTGAGTACAGCAGACCTTCCCCCCCTACCCCCGAAACACCCTGTCCACTCAGCATTTATATCTGCAGTATGTCCAAATTTTTCTTCTCAAACATCTATGTTCTTGTCTCTCCCTTTTTTTTTTTAATACCCAAACATGTAATTCTGTACCCATGATCCTCAGTAAAAGTGTGTGGACTAGCTAAACCGCTGCCTCATTTATCCATGAACACAGCAAATTATTTATTGAGTGCATTATGCCAGGTTCTGTGGCAGATCCTGGTGCTGTGATGGTGAGTGAAACAGACATGTTTCCTGTCTTTATGAAATTTACAACCAAATGAGGGGAGACCAATGTTTTATACACACACACACACACACACACACACACACACTGCGAAGTACAAGGCACTATGAGAACATTTAATGGATGACTTTGCTGAGTTTTTTTGAGGAGATGGGACAGAGGCTAGGGAAAGTTGAAATCTGAATGGTAAGTAGAATGAGCAGGAGTTGGGGGCAAGGGAGGGAGACAGTGCACCTTGCAAAGAGTTCATGGGAAGGCCCTGAGCCTCCCAACCCAGTCCTCACTAATTCCCTACTCCTGACTCCCAAATTTTGAATTCTTTATTGGTGGCAGTTGCCTTTTACTCTCTCCCCACTTTTAGGTTCTCCTGATCCCAGATGGGCACCTGTGTCCAGAAACCTTGAGATGCTCCACAGATACTGAGAACTCTTATATGTCTCTTTTGTAAATTAAAACCTATTATAATATATAGGCTTGTTGTGAAAATCAAACAGCTGGTATATATGATGTGGGACGTTAAAATCCATGTCGCATGCTATCTCGTTCCTCAAAAGCAACTATGATTTATGGTTTGAGACATAGATCCTACCATGCCTTTTTCTGTCTTTGTATATTTGTATTATATATTATACATACAAATTTTTGGCAAAAATAAGATAATACCTTATATTTTACAGCTCTTTTTCTTTCTAGTTAGTAAATTATGGAAACCTTTTCATGTCTTCTCTATGGATATGCCTATATTCTGTTTAACCTTCAGTTTAAACAGTCCCTTACTGATTAGCATCTAGGAAATACTGATTATTTTCCCATGTTTGGTTATTATGTAATGAACTTATATTTGAATTTCAGCTGTGAGTTCTAAATACACATTGTTTTGGGGCCAGTACTTACATAAGCAGTTCATGGGGGATCTGAGGCTCTGTAATTTCTAAGCTCCCAGACTGAATGGATGAAAATAGTCTGTGTAAATTATTTTAGTCAGGGACTTTTTGGAGAGACTCAGGGCGTCAGTAAAATGCTGTAAATTAGGTTTGGTCTTTAACTGTCAGGTGGTTTCTTAGAAGCACTTAATACTTTTTGTCTGCAGTAGCCCAAGTTGTTGCTTTTGATAAGCCTCACGATCTACTTTTCCACTGTACCTTACAACATAGATTCACTCTGTTCCATTCTGAGGTACTCCCTTTATTCCAAACCAGATGAAGCTATGCTTCTCTGATGGGGTAGAGATCAGCTTGTCAAGACTTTATAGATAAAAGATAAATCTGCCTTTGACTTTATGCCTCTAGAATATGGGGGATGAGTTCACTTATCCTCTTGACCATCTCAACCTTTGGGCTTTGCAGGTGAGCTGCGGTCTCTACGGGAGGAGATTTCCCTGTTAGAGCGTGAAAAAGAATGTGAACTTAAGGAAATAGAACAGGAGTTGCATCTGGCCCAGGCTGAGATCCAGAATCTGCGGCAAGCAGCAGTGGATTCTGCGACTGAACATGAGAGTGACATAGCCTCCCTGCAGGAGGATCTCTGCCGGATGCAGAATGAACTCGAGGACATGGAGCGCATCCGGGGAGAATATGAGATTGAGATCACCTCCCTCCGTGCAGAAATAGAAATGAAGAGATCTGACCCATCCAATAGTTTAAGTCTCTCAGATTTCTCTGAGATGCAAGGTATGAGAAAGCAAGCCCTCCTCACAGTCTGTCAGTCAAATCAAGCAGAGGGAGATAGTGTGCAAGAAGATGATGGCAGTTGGGCTTAGGTCATGAATTAGGAATGTCTAGGGAAAAACCTCCAGCTTAAATACAAAACTGTAAGGGAGAAGAACTTACCCTGATGTCACATAACCAGTCCATAATAGTGTAAGAAATAGCACCATGGGGATGTACCCTGAGAATTCTTCCTTGGAGCACCATTGGGCATTTGTTGAACTGCCTATGCTACAACACTTCCTGAGAAAGTTTCCAGTTCTGGGATGGGAGTATAGGGGCCTGTCACCTTAGAAAACTCTTCCCGCTGCTCTGGCATCGTGCTGCTTTGCCTGGGCACTTTCTGGGGGGGCTCCAGTCCTGCTCCCAGGTCCCAAGATGCTGACTTTTAGTCTCCTTTAGCCCTTCTCAAGTAGAAGCTTTAGGGGCAATAAACAGGAGCACAAGACAGCTGGAGAGAAAGAGAGGTTATTTCCAGTATTACATGAGGTGCTCAAAAGCTTAGAGCTCTGCTCTCAGACAGCGAGTCTCCCAGCTAGTTGCCAGGATTCATGACATCAGAGAGTTTGCCTTTATTCTGAGGCTGGATTTATGATCTGGGTATAATGGGAGGCCCTGTACTAGGCCAGGTCAAACAGAGGCAATCAACAAGGAATCAAAGAACTGCAAGTTTCCCAGCTATAACAAGCCCTCAGAAGAGCCTCAGAACTGGTGGTACTAAGAGAGGGAGGTCAGAACAGTGGAAAGGCTTGGGCTGGAGGTAAACAGACCTGAGTTCAGAATCTCAGCTCTGCCAATTAGCAGGATGAGCTTAGCCTGCTTATTATCTCTCTGACCTTCAGTTTCTTTACCTGTCAAAATTGATTAATAAAACTTTACAGCTGGATGGGATCTGGAACAGGAAAAGGACCTTAGGGAAAATGTACAAAAAACTGAATAGAGTGTAGAGTTTAGTTAACAGTAATGTACCAGTGTTGATTCCTTAGTCGTGACAGATGTCCTCATGGGAAGATGTTAACAATAGGGGCAACTGGGTGAGAACACTCCCAGGGAATTCTGCACTATCTTTGCAACTTTTCTGTAAATCTTAAAACTATTCTAAAACTTAAAGTTTATTTTAAAAAAGAAAGAAAGATAGAAAACCTTATAGGGCTTTTTTGGGGATTAATTGAAATACATAGTGTGTTGAAAGGACTCCAACACAACTAAATCCGAGGCTGGAATCATCAAGTCTAACGCTTAGCACATGGTTGCTTTTCATTAACGATTAGTTTCCTTCCTTCCTTCTGTGGTAATCGGCAGTATGTCGAGGACTTTTGATTGGAATAAAGAAGGAACATTAGAAGTGAATTTCAGGGTGTTGAATCTTACAGCAGGTAAGAGAGGCCTTGTGTTCTAATTAGAGCAAGTTAGTGTTCTTTCAATATTAGTATTCTGAGAGAAATCATGAAGAAATAAAACAGATTTGGGTGTTTGTATGATCACAACATTAAAAATTATTGGTATGTGGAACTAAGGGATACGTGCTGGGGCATTTCAGCCAGATCTCTGCCGATGCCTATGGATAATTTGTGGGTCTGGTTGGGGTGGGCTTTTTTGACAGCAGATAACAGATCATTAGAATTCTTGACCACATGCAGGCTGATGTATTTCATGGTGATAAAGGAAGTAAAAGGACATCAGAAGGTGAAAATGCTCAGGTTGTCTTTGAAAGCCCCGCACTGGCAGTGTAACATCTGGCAGTTCACATCTCTCAGCTTTTCATACTAAAAGTGTAAGAGGAAGCTAACCATAAACAGTTGAATGGAAACTTTAAATGCAGTAAGCGAAAAACTTAATTAAACCCATACGAGCTCCTAAAATCTCAAGACTGTCTTGGTTGGGGTTTTGAAGATGGGCACACAGGGCAGATCTTCTGGGAAGATGAAAAGATGGGCAGTTAACTGAAAGAGGACAGAGACCCATTGCAGTGTGGAACTTTCTGGGCCCTGTTGTCTAAGCCTCTGTAGGTGGTATCTCTTCTGTCTTTAGAAAAAGAGAAAGGATTCAGTTTTCTGCAGTCAGATTTCTAGGTAAGAAAATGGGGGACTGGTCATCAACGTTTCCTCCTAGGAGCTCACCTCTCTGCCTGTCCTCTGCAGAAGAGTTGCAGCAACTGCGGGACCGCTACCACTTCCTGAGTGAGGAGTACCGAGCCTTGCAGGACAGCAACAGCAGCCTCACCGGGCAGCTTGCAGATCTGGAGAGTGAGAGGTACAGCTGGAGGTCGGGGGGCTCTTTAGGACTGGGCTTTTCCCTGAGTAGAACTGGTGCAGGCAGATACCCAGGCTAAGAGCGTCCCTCTGCTTCTGGAGAGCTGGTCCTTTCCATGGTCTCCAAAGGATACAGATATTGCCTGGAAGCTGGCCTGGGGATCCAACCCAGTTGTCTCTGGACTAGAGAGTTCTGAAATTGAGTTTTCTTCCATTCTAGGCATTAGGTCTGGTTTGCTCTGCCCTGGAGTAGATGAGAAACAATTCCTTTGTTGTCCTCACAGACTTGATTCAGTCTAATGGCATAGTGCCTCCAGATCGGAGCTGGCTTGACTCCAGGCCCAGCCTCGAGCCCGACTGGACTAGCACTCTTACAGAGTCAGACATGCCTTTACAGACTGAGGTGTTGGGGACTTTTTCTGCAATCTTAAAAGCATGTTTATTTAAGAGGTAAATCACAATAAAAGGCTCCTTACTATCTTTTGCCTAAAATGAAGGCATCAGTACCAAGCACACTTGGTAGGTGATGCCAGACAGCTCTCTCCCAAACCTGGCTCTGGGGTTCTGGATTACAGGACGCGAAGAGCAACAGAAAGGTGGCTGGAGTCCAAAACGGAACGGAGTACGATGTCAACGGAGTCTCAGACTTCAGAAGCGGATTTCCTAGAGCCTGATCCTGAAACCCAGTCATTGCGAAAGCAGCTGCTGGGAGCTGAGGAGCAAATGCATGACATGCAGAACAAGGTAGGGGAAGGCAGGTGCCCTTCAGTGCCTTGCTGTCACCTCCTGGCCTGCGGTAAAAACATCTTAGACACAAGGCTGACAACGGAGGCATGTGCTATAGCAGGAGCCAGTATCCTGGTGTCCCGCTTGCTTGCCTGATGTAAATATTAGTAAAAGGAATGCTGTGCTCTGCCCAAGCCTGTTCCCTGAGTGCATACGTCACCTTTAGTAAATCAGCCTTCCTGTTCTGTTTCCCCCACAGTGTAAGAAATTGTGTTGTGAGTTGGAAGAGCTACGGCATCATCGCCGGACGAGTGAGGAGGAACAGAGGCGGCTGCAGAGGGAGCTCAAGTGTGCACAGAATGAGATGCTTCGGTTTCAGACTTCCCACAATGTCACCCAGGTAAACACTGACGGGGAAGGGCATCAGGGGAGGGCAGAGGGCCTACGAGGAGCCACCGCTTCAGGGGAGGATGAACGGAGAGGAAGGCTGTGCTCTGCTGACTCTTGCCTTGCGACCAGGGGCACAATCTACCAGAGAGCAGTTGGAGAAGTCATACAGCATTGCATTCTAGAAATGGTAGTCACTGTTGAGCATCTGCTGCAGAGAAGAAACCAAATCCTAGGCCTGTGGGATCTCCTCAAGAGGTCTGCATCTGGAAAAGAACCAGGCTGGTCTGGAGAGGGGTCTGCTGACCTGTGAGAGTAACGGTTCTACCCGCATCCTCCCCACCACAGAACGAGGAGCTGAGGAGCAGACTCTGTACCCTGCAGCAGAAGTACGATACTAGCCAGGATGAGCAGAATGAGCTCCTGAAGGTGCAGCTACAACTTCAGGCTGAGCTCCGGCAGCTCAGAGTCACGAAACCCACAGTCATAGAAAGCCAGAGTGAGAAGGTAACAGCAACCCCAGGTGAGGGGCTGCTTAGGTGCCAGGAGGTTTGGGGGAAGAGGGATAAGAGGAGAGAGTTACAGTAGCTCCAGCCACCACCTGTGCAGCACCACAGGTGACAAACTCCGGCCACCCTCGAGTCTTCCATTAAACAAGAGGACAACCAGTAAGTGCTGGGCAGGGAGAAGTGGATTCTCAGACTGTCCGTGTCTGATAGTCGCTCGGACAGAAGAATGAGTGGGTTGAGGGTCCCAGAGGTCCTGCCCAAGGCCCCCTCCACCACAGGAGTTACTGTGCCGGCTCCAGAAGCTGCAGCTGCAGTACCAGAACATCATGTGTGAGAAGGACAAGCTGCTGGACGTGCAGCAGCAGCTGCGGGAGAACCTGCAGTGCCACGAGGCAGAGGTGCAGCACCTCAAGGGCATCGTGGCCTGCTTCCAAGAGAGCAGTGAGAAGGTAAAAGAAGCTTCAGATGAGGGAGAGTGTAGCATGGCAGACTGTCCTGTAACAGGACGAGTACACGGGAGAAGGGGATGGTGGAGCAGCTGTCGTTGAGGGGGATAAAAGGATGCTTCGTGGAAAAGGTGGTGTCAGATTTTAATTGATTTGATTTTAAATCAGAAAATCAGCCTATGAAAAGGAAGCCCTTTCCCTTCCCCACATCCCCAGGAAGCCCCAGGTCTCTGTGTAGAGCCAGTGAGGGATTGGTCCATCTCAGGTAGCTCCCATTGGGATGAAATTGGAACTGGAAAGGACAGGGTAGGATCCCCTTAGTCCCTCTTGAGAGGAGAGAGTGCAGCACCTGGAGCTCCTGGGATGATGGTGGGGTCTGCCTCCCCTACCCCAGAATGCAGAGATGCACGCCCAGCTGCAGGAGATGAAGCGGCTGTGCCAGACCAGCACGGATGCGCTGGAGCAGCAGAAGCACATGTATGATCAGCTCGAGCAGGACTTCCTGCTCTGTCAGCAGGAGCTGACGCAGCTCAAGACCACCCAGCCCATACCAGAGGACAAGGGAAAATATGCTAATAAGGTAATTGTAATTTAGAGAAGTGAGAGCTCCTGAGCATCAGAGAGAGGAGGTATAGGCCCAAAAGGTGAAATCATCCAACCAAGGGGCTTGATGGGCTTCCTGTCCGATCACAGCTGAGCGTGGAAAGCCAGGAAACAAAGGCAGATCCCCATGCTGTTAACTTTAAAACTTTGCCCTGACCTTGATTTTGAGGCCAAGTCACGGCTTAGTAGAATCTGGATTCAGTCTGAACTCCTGAATGATCCCATGTATGTTAACATTTATAGCTTAGAACTATCTTGTCATTTGTGGAGAAGAACATATATAACCACGATTGTTAGAACTAGAAAGAAAAGGTCCAGTTTTCTGAGGCAGACTGCAGATGCTCTTGTCAGAAGGCGTGGCCTGTGCCCAGAGTGCTGATTGGGTATAAGAAGGACTTAGACTTTTCCAGGATTTATTCTATGACTTCAGATTAGTTAAAATTGTAAGCTTGAATTCTAAAGTTGAGCAGAAGGCCATTCTCATCTCACTTTCTCTTAGTAAAAAATTCTTGTTGTGGTGAATAAGGCCTTCCTTCCTCAGTTTCCCTTTTTTCCATAGTGTGTAAAACACAAGTCATTATCAGGTAGCCTTGTTGAGTACTTTCAGCTCCTGATCGCTGCCAGGAAATAGAATGGTATCAATGATGAGGGAAAAAAAGCACAAGATCCTCAAAAGATGGTAGAACTAGTTGCCTTCTGCCAGAATACTCAGTAGCTCCTGCCACAGCCGACAGCAGGCTGTGTCCCCAGGGAGAGGCCTTCAGAGGACACAGAACTGGGGAGGCTGTTCAGACCACCCCAGTAGTTGTCTGTCTGCATTTCTACACCCAGGCTCCCTTTTCCTCCTCCCCCAACTCCCACTCCATTTAGAGGCTCCGGGGGCCCAGACTTGCTCACCACTTCTTCTCCTAGTGGACGAGACTGTGTGGAGGGAAAAGCATGCTGACACACAGAGCCAGCCTTTGCTCTAGTCCAAAAACAGTGCTGAGATTAGTTCGATACTAGATTTGGGGTTTTGGAATCAAGGGGATTTTGTCTTCTCAACCCAAATTCAGCAGTAGCTCATATTTTTCTGAAGATTTTTTAAAGCTGGTTAAAAACAAAAACAGGGAGAAATCAGGGTAAAAGTAAGTCCTTATTGGTAAGGAGCATAATTAGTTGTAGAAACAACTGGCGATAATGAGAGTAACAGGAACTAGAATTCCCTGCAGGGTGGGAAAATGGTATGTACCAGAGGAAAGGGAGGTGAGGAAATGAGAAGGGAGGGGCGTTGATAACACTCCCTCGCAAACTGCCCTCGGAAGGGACTAGGAGGCAGAATATAGAGCACAGCCAAACAGCAGTGCCAAGCAGCCTGCTGGGGTTCTCGTTCTGCATCTAGGGCGGTATGAGTGCAGTATGGTTTGGGGTGATCAGTCTAAGGTGACTGTACAGGGAGGGAGACCCTGGTGAATCGCTACAGGGAAGAGAGCACCAAGTGTTCTGGTGGCCGCACAGTGCAGAGAAACACCAGGGAGCCTAGCTCCCCGAATCACCACCCCTCCACGCCCCGCCCCCTCCACAGTGTGATGCACTGCTCTTCAGACTGACAGAATTGCAGGAAAGGTACAAGGCCAGCCAGAAGGAGATGGAGCAGCTGCAGATGGAGCAGTGCGAGCTCCTGGAGGAGCAGAGGAGGATGCAGGAGGAGCAGGGCCAGCTGCAAGAAGAGCTTCACAGACTCACGTTCCCGATACCCAAGTCTGGTCTCTTCCACAAGGTAACCACAGCCGGGGACGGCTGCTCACTGTGGAGAAGCTGCTTTGAGAGGCTTCCTAAGTGTCACTGTACTTGGGAGAAGTAAAAGGGTAGGGGTAGAACTTTTTCTTTTCTTAACCAACCTCTCCTTACTTTCTCACCGGTCTCTTCAAACAAAACGGTTCCATATAGCTGATTAGGGTTTTCATCTTAAAATACATCATATACTCTGGAATCTGTCCAGCATTTTATATTTAGATATATAGTCCATCTGGAGAAAATGTACTTGAAAGCACTTTGTAAACTGCAAAACACATCCAAATGTATGAGGTCATTGCTACTCAACCAGCAGGTCTCTGTAGAGGGATCCCCACCCACCACCGCCAATCCCAATCCCAGATGGGCTGTGCAGAACCAGCTCAGAGACTCTCAAGGGGAGGGTCCCCAGCAGGAAGGAGGCAGAGGTCTTTCCGTGTAACCACCACAGTTCCTGCCCCTTTCCTTCCACTCTACCTCACAGAGTCAGGAGCTTCTTACAAAGTTGCAAGACCTGTGTGAACTACAGATGCTCTACCAGGGCATGCAGGAGGAGCAGAAAAAACTGATACAGAATCAAGAATGTGTATTAAAAGAACAATTAGACCTGCACGGAGCACTGCAACATTTTAAGGAGTCTGGTTTCCAGGAAGTGTTGGAGAATCCCAAGGATTCCAAATCACCTAAGTCCTCAAAATGTGGTCATAACAAGGTAACCATAGCAAGAGGCAGGGAGACAGTTCTGAGGGCAACAGCATGGTAGGGAAAGGGGGCTCCACAGAGGGGTCAGAGTTTGGAAGGCCTGTTTGGCCAGGAGTAAGGACGAAGCTAAAGCCCTGCCCTCTCAGCCACAACCACTCATGGCTTTAGCTGCAACCTTAACTCCTCCCCCAGGTGCATCTCCAGTTGAAATGCTGTGAATGCCTAGAACCAGATGACCTGGAAGTCTGTGATCTCCTGATAATTTGACTCAATCCTTTCAACATCTCATTTTCCAGGTGTATTTGGAAGTAGATCAGCTTAGTGTTTGTTTGGATTCCTTAGGACTGACTCTAAACTTTTCTCATGTGCTGGTCGATAATTGAGAAGTACATTTTCCAGTGATTAAAATCTATAACCTTTTTGTGTCCCGCATGAGGCACATCTGGGGCCATCCATTTCTAAGGGAAGAATTCCTAGCCTGTGGGGTTCTTGGTACTGACCATACTATCTTCACTGGAACTTTGTGGCAATGACAGCAAGGTCAGGGGGGTTAGACTAGAGAATCGATGCGTCTCAAGCACCAGCAAGTGGTCCTGCCTCTAAGGTCACACAGGTGGAGATTTCCAGACAAGTCTATTCAGGGTTGGGGGATGCTTTTAGTCTTAGGTCTCAGTAGGGGAAAGGAAGAGCAGGTAGACAGTTTCAATTTAGGTGAAATCTGTCCATTCAGATATTAGCCGAGACAGGCAGATGTAGGGAGTAGCGGAAGTCCAAACTGTGAGATCTGGTCAGATTCCAGGGGCATCAGATTTCAGCCTAGATAGCACAGAGACTAGGAACCAGGTATGAAATATTTCCTTAACCGATCAGATCTCATCCTGGCCTCAGCAGCCAAGAAGCCAGGCCCAGAGGGCCTGGGAAATATGCCCAGAGGCCAGATTCAGGATTGAGGCAGGAGGTATGGGAACTCATAGTGAGACCTTGGCTCCAAGTCTGCATCTTCTGGGAAAGGAATTCTTATGCTCACAATTGAGTCCAGGACTGATTTTAGAACTGGGGGGTGAAGGAGGGGACTGAGCCCTAAAGTTCAGGATAATGGGTACACCTGACTGAAAAGAGGGGAGGGGAGAGAGCCCAAGTGATCTAGAGATCCACCCAGCACAGCTCCAAGAAGAGAAGGAGTTACCAGAGTGTAGAAACCAGCAGAAATGGGAGCCTGGAAATGGTGGAGTATCTGCCTTGGGGAGAGCTTCCCTAGCGAGCAAGGAACTCACATGTTCCAGTTACCTGTAGGCTAAGTTGAAGACCTAGGCTGTGGTGAGACAGGAGGGTAGGTGTGCAGTTCTCTGATGTGTGCTCGCAGACATCCGCACTAGGAGGGGTGCAGCCAGGAGGACCACAGTGTCTAGAGTAACCATGACGTTTCGCCACCCACTCCCGGCAGTCCAAGATGATCATTGCCCAGATGCAGGCTCTGCAGGAGATGTACGAGGCCAGTCAGATCGAGCAAGAGCTGCTGCAGCAGGAGCAGGAGAGGCTTCTAGAGGAGCGGAAGAGGCTGCAGGCCGACTTGCAGCTCTGCTTGGAAGAAATGCAGCTGTTCCAAGTCCAGTCCCCGTCAATAAAAATGAGCCTTGAGTCCTACAAGAAGAGTTACGGTAGCACGAGCACCAGCAGCGAGAACTGTTGCAAGAGTTATGGTTGTAATATTGATGATGAGGAGAGCTATCACAAGAGTTACATGAGCAGCCAGGCCAGTAAGGAGAGCTTTCTCAGGAGCTACACCAGCAGCACCAGTACCGCCGACACCTATGAGAAGAGCTACCGCAGCAGCAGCAGCAGCGTTACCTGTAAGAGGAGTTACGGCATCAGCAGTAGCTCTGACACCTGTCACAAGAGTTACATCAGCAGCAGCACCGACGACGAGGTTGCTGAGCCTGAAGATATGGAGGTAAAAGTAGGCAGATGGCAGGTCAGACAGAGGGAGAAGGTTCTTATCTTATTGAGAGAGAAGTCACGGGGGAAGGGTGCAAGCAGTGAGGTGGGCAGCAGCCTCAGAGCTGAGCTGGGTTACTTACCAGAAATAAATGTGGCACTCTGCGCATCTCATACAGAGATTCTCCACCTGGATGGAGGTATGAGATTCAGGTCTTGTCCTCAACACAGTTATGGTGCTCTTTACGGAAAGAAATACAGTATTTCCCCTGGGCAGCTTCGGATCCTTGTGGCCGCTGTTTTGTACCCCAGAAAGAGCCTAGCACAGAGAGTGGGCGGAGGGCAGGTGCTCCTCAGGGTGCTGTCATCACCACTACCACCACCACCCCTCCCGCCCTCCACAGCACTTTGAGGACATGGTTGCCAAGGTGTTGGTCAAGCTGCAGGGAGTGCAGGCCATGTACCAGTTCAGCCAGGAGGAGCACAACCTGCTGCAAGAGCAGATGAAAAAGCTGCTGGACCAGCAGAAAGAGCTGAAGGAAGAACTGGATGCCTGTGAGAAGGAATTCGAGGAGTGCATGGAATGCCTCGAGAAGCCCGAGAAGCCCGCTGGCTCTCAAAATGACAAGAACGAGGTAACTGCTTTCAGGGAGGCAGGGTTTCTTGTAGGAGTCCCTAGAGCCAGAGGAGGACATAGCCATTTCAGAGAGGCTAAGGAGAGAGACTGGAGCTCACTGCCAGCTCTGTATAGTTGCCCACCTCCTGGTGAGAGGGACAGAGTAGGAGCTGAACCCCAGGAGGCTGGGCAGTCTGCTGCATCACTGATGGACACTTCTCAGGCCCCACTGTGCTGAGATTTACTGATCACCAAGACTCCTTGAATATTTTTTTCCCCTTTGCCATGTCTGTTCTCTCTTTCACTCTGTATCCTAGAGCATTTCTATAGCATTGTATTTTTTGTTTTAACCTGCCAGTTTTCTTTAGTTATTTTCTATGTATTTGCCTTGTCTCCTCAACTAGATTGTAAGCACCTCAAGGTCAGGTCTATGTCTTCCTCTTTGGGATCTCATAATGCCAAGAAGAGTGCTCTGCATCCACTAGGAATGGGACAGAAGGCATTGTCTCTGACCCAGATTAGTCCACAGTCCAGTGGGGGTCACTGTATGCATGGGAGAGGTTCAGAGAGCAAGCAACACATGAGCCTAGGTGGCTTAGTATCAGTACCTACCAAGGAGACCATGATGTGCTGCCAGAAGTCAGGAAAGACAAAACCAGGGATTAGGGAGCAGAGTTAGAACTTGCCTCTGTTTCCAGGGTGAGGCAGGGAGCCCAGATCCAGTCTCAGGTATATACAACACAGTTCCTTAGGCGATGGTACCTATTAGAAAAATAGCTTGGGTGAAGTAGGAGTTCCCATCAGAAATAACTAATAAAGTGTAATAAAGCCCCGCAGCTCAGAAGGAGGTAGCCCTGTATTTATTCCCCAGACAGGTCACCGTAAAAACATAATTTAAGCCATCCTTCTTTGATCACGTTAGATGTAAATTATCAGGTCTTCAAGTTAGGGAGAACCCCTTTGTCAAACTACTTTGGAGGCTCATTTTCCACAGTTTAATGTTTTCTGTATTATCTACTTCCTCCTGGGCTTTAGCAGGGACATTTCTGAGGCAGTGACCCCAAGGCAGGGGCCAGACTGATCACGTAGGCCCAGCTGCGGGTAACTGGCCCTCCACTACCAACAGATCAGAGAACTGCAGGCCAAGCTGCGGGAGCTGCAGCTGCAGTACCAGGCTAGCATGGACGAGCAGGGGAGGCTCCTGGCCGTGCAGGAGCAGCTGGAGGGGCAGCTGCAGTGCTGCCAGGAAGAGCTTCGCCAGCTCAAAGAAGGCAAGGGAAAGAATGGCTATAAGAACATGAACAAGAATGCCAATGGGGTCAAAAATAAAAAGGTGGCCAAGCCAAGCCTGGAGAGTTCTGAGGGCAACTTTGAGACCAGAAAGGTGAGTAGTGACCTTAGTAGCTAGATAAGCAGGATGTTAAAAGAGATCCTGGGAAGAAAAATCATCTCCACCATGCCGACCAGGGGACGTATTTGTAGAGAAGATTCTGGGATCTCTAGCAAATTTCCGTCTTAGCAGTGATTTGGAGATCCCTTTTCCTGTGAAGTCAAGGAGAGAGTGGGATACAGACCACTCAGACCTGGAGCTACAGCCCCAAAGGACCACAGTCCCTAGGCTGTATGGCCATTTCAGTTAGCCCAAAACAATTTTCTGGGGCCCCTGTTCTTCCTGGGTCACATGCCCAAGGGAAGGACATGGATGAAAGGAGAGGAACTAACTTAAAGCATTTGTGTACACATAGGTAGAAGAGGATTGGATAAAGTGGGAGTCACCAGGCAGGGGTAGGAAGCAGCAGCTGAGGTGCAGAATCTGCGCTCTGGGAGCTGTTGGAAATAGCTAATAGCCAGAAAGATGCATGGGTCCAGAGAGGCTGGGTGTGACTGCCCTCCACACCGCACAGGGACATCAACTCAGTCCTGGAACACAGTACTCTCTGTGCACGGTGACAAGCTGGGAAGCAGCGTGTTAATGAGACAGTTCAGCATTATTGTGAGGGTAGGGATCTTCACAGGTAACAGCATCCCCCATCCTGCCCTGCCTCCGCCCCGCAGAGTCTGGAGGTGGTGCTGTACTACAAGGCCAGTCACATGACTTTAGACGATCTAACAAAAGAGGAACAGAAAGAGGAGAAGAAGGAGGAAATCGAGGAGGAAATGAAGGAGGAGTCCTGGGATGAACTAGTTTCTGGATCACCAGATCCTAGCGAGGTTAAATCCGAAGAAGATCAGGAGGAGGTAACCAAAGAGTTCCGCAGCCAGGAGGGTAAGGAAGACGACGACCAAGAGGAGGATGACGATGAGACTTCAGAGGGAAGCAACTCCCTCAAACTTTCTGAGAGCAAAAAGGTAACCGCAGCCAAGGCTGGATCACATGGGAAATGGGCTCTGGGGCGCAAGTGCCCAGTGTTTGGGGTGACCCAGCCCTCCGGGGAAGGTAGAGACAGAGGTGGGATTGGAGAGAGCAGTCTCTCCGAGGGAGATGGCAGGCTGAGGCCGAGTTGCTGTGGAACTGTCGCAGAGACCAGGGTGGGAGCCAGGGTGGGCTGGTTGGAGTCCTTCCTCCTTTCGTGTACATGGTAGCCCTCGTTACTTACTTCTGGAAGGTTCTTTACCCTCCCCAGCACTGCTCGAATGCTGCTGACAGTGCAAGGCTTTCTTCAGGGTGTTTGTCAGCCTGGGAGAGTCATCCAGGCCTGCTCTTCTGAGGTGCTTTGTTAGGTTGACCTCAGTTGCTGTGAAGGGTGTGGGGATGATGGTGTTGCCCTCTGGGCCCTGTATACTATGGGGCGTGTGGGTGGGGGCCGCGGACAATCAGAAGTGATAAAATATTTCTGTCGGTACGGCAGGGGTGTTGGCCAGTCTAGGGAGACCAGCCAGAACCTTAACCCCTTAGCCACTGGATCTCCAGAGGTTGGGGTGGGAGTATCTTGCGTAATGTACCAGCAGTACAAAAATATTTCTGTATTTTAACAGCTGGTACATCTTAGAGGTGCATACCAGCTGAATCCCTGCCCTGGTTGAAGTTAACTGGGGGCTCTGATTTCTGAAGAGTTTGTACTTCCTGAATAAGTCCTCAGTTTACAGTACAGGTTCTTTGTGTCCCTCTAAACACAGGGGAAGAAAATGTCTCTTGTGGCGGGATGTCCCACTCAACTCTCAGGTTATTTGGAATTTCCCAGCAGTTCAGTCTGCAGCCCTGGCTAAGGACCCAGCATGCATTTCTCTGTTAACCTTGTGGCAGAGGACCATTACTGAGGATGTGAAAAGTAGGAGTAACTACAGCCTCTCCCCCAGTATTCTGTTTCTCTGAATTCTTCATATCCCACCACATGCTGGTTCAGAGCCTCATAGATTTGCTTGCCTCAGGTGCCACATTTCTAAACACCAGACCAGGTTTTTCTACTTCAAAGTCAAGCACATTCCTTGTGTCTGCATACGGAAGTGTCACTTTGCCTCCTGCAAATGGGTCCTGCATCTTTTACAGGCAGCTCTAATGGCATATGTGTTACCACCTGCAAATTCAGTTTCTCTCTGGATGACTGGTGCAGTCAAGAACTAACCCTTCTCCATTGTTAGCTTGTTTTAGTGCATTCTGTCTCACAATGACAGCATCAGACTCCTAGGGGATGGTAGAGACCAGAGCCCAGAGCCCAGAGCACTGAGACTTGATGGAAAGCAGCCAGAACACGTGGCGAACAAAGGGCCAGGTGGCCTGGCAGGAGGCTGCCCTTCCTAGAGTGACCCAGGCAAAGTATGCGTCCTACTCATCTGGAGAGCACCGCTCTACTCCCTGGAGCGCCACTTTTCCAGAGTTTTACTGACATACAAGAAAGGTCTAGGTGCAGATAATCCTTGCTTGACAAAATAGGAGCGAGATATGACAAGCCAGAAACGTGGACCTAACACCCAAGTTGGACCTAAGCAGCTGCACAAGCAGTTCAGTTTTGTGTCTTCCGCAGGCCACCAGGGGGAAGACCCAGGCCGAGCAGCAGAGAAGAAATATCGCTGCTCTCGCTTACCTGCTGTTTAACCTCTTGATCTCTTTCTCTTTTCCCTTTGTTTTATCATCTTCATTATCTGTTGGATTCATGTGTTTATGTCTTTTTGTACCACCTCTCATCTCCTGGTCTCTCCTTGTGCCTCTTTCTCATGTGATATGTTGCAGCCCTCCCCTGCCCCCGATCCCCCCATCTTCTCCTTGCCTCTTGTAGGCCTGGTGGTCATATCGGCTTTGCTCTGGTGCTGGTGGGCTGAGACGTCGTCCTAACACAGGTACTGGTATTGCGTCCTCTCCTTCTCAGGGCTAGAGGGAGGGTGCAGGTTGCCCTGGCCTCTCCTCTTTCCCTTTTCTCTCAGCTGCTTGCTTCTTGCTTTTGCCGTTTTATAACAGGTGATGCTCAGGTCTGAGTTTTAGCCCTGGCTTTCCTTGGGCTACTGCAAAGCCCATGACATCTCAGAGCATATCTTTGTAACACACAAGGTGTTGGAATGCCTACTGTGTCTGCATGTCTGTTGACATGGCTTGAGTTTCTGTCCTCTGGCTGGGAAAAATTTGGTTGGTCCCAACACTGTGGCAACTTTCAAAGCTCCCTTGACTACTGATGAGCTGATGTCTGTCTGCAAGGCTGGCCTGGCTGCTCTTTGTCTTTGTTTAGCCCTAAAGGCAAGCTCTTACTACTGTGGCTACCCAGGATGGCAAAATAAGGAATCACTGCCTTCCTCACTGGCTGAGAGAGGAGGTCTGGGGAGCTGTGAGCCCCATGGTCATTTGTATGAGGGCAGCTTCAATTCATCATCTTTCAGCCTTGGCATCAAACCCCTACCATGTTATATACTTACTACTGAGCAGTTCTCTGATTTGGGGCTTCTGGTCTCCAAAAAAATCAGATCAAGAATGCCACATCCCTTTTGAGGCCGGATTCAATTGTAATTGGCTTCTCAAACTGGGCTTTCTGGAGAGAATGTGGTATTGGTGAAAAGTTTCCACTAACCAGAGATGCCGTGTTCTCAGGGAACCAAACTGATATATTCTGGGCACCAGTCCCATGTAATTGGATCTGTCAACAGGACACCAAATTCAGAAGGTGAAATGGTCTTATGGCCCAAGGTAGAACCCTTCCAGAACCCATAAACTATTCTCTCTGGGCCTGTTTTGGCTCTTTTCTCATGTTTCTCTTGCCACTCCATGTTCCCGCCCCTTCTTCTCACATCTCTGGCAACAGAGTGTAGTTGGTTCAATGCATAGGTTCAGAGTGACCACTGAAGCATTTCTTGGTAGCACTTAGCACTATTTCCTTTTTTCCTCCTCACTTTTTTTCTCTTCAACCCTTCTCCTTTCTTCTTTTGGACATTCTAGTTACTAACAACAGACAGTCTTTAACTCCTTTGGTGAGAGGGATCTCTCCTTGTACCTGTTCCTCCCTGTACACTCCCAGATTTCTGAGTCCCTATGGGATGAGACCCAAAGCATTCAACCATAACCTTTGACCAACTCAAACCCAGCTAGGCCTGATCAGAGGGGGAGAAAGGAACTCTTGGGGAAGCTTGTTATGCCCAGAGCCTGGCCATGCCCCAGTGTGCAGCTCCCCATCCAGAAACTGCGGCAGC